CTCCACCATAATCCTATTATGGAGAAAGTTATAAACGACAATGAAGAAGAGGGAAGGGGAGAAGAAGGAGGGAGTAATGAGAGAGAATGAGAGAGAGGGAGAGAGAGAGAGAGAGAGAGAGAGAGAGAGAGAGAGAGAGAGAGAGAGAGAGAGAGAGAGAGAGAGAAAGGGGAAGACGGCGAGGGGAGCTAAGCGAGTCTCACCTTTCATCTCCAGGTCTTCTCTCTCCCTTCCCTTGGAGGAGGTCATGAAAAAGGAAGGAATGGGAGAGGGAGAGGGAAAAAGGGAGAAAGTAGGAGAGAGTGGGAGTGGTGGGAGAGGGAGAGAGACAAAGGAGGAGGGAGTGGGAGTGGAGTAGAGGAAGTGGAAGAGGGAGAGGGAGTGAGAGTGAGCGAGTGATGGAGAAACAGAAAGACAGAGAGAAAGAAAATAAGAAAGAGAAAGAAAGAAAGAAAGAATGAAAGGAGAGAAAGCGAAAACAAGACCGAGCGATATAGAGAGACAGACAGAGAAACACAAAGAGAAAGATCGAAACAAGGGGAAATATTTAGGCTGGATTGGATTGCTTGTTAGCGCCAGGGTGAGCAGGAACGCTTCAGTGTGCGAGGGTGTAGGAGGGTGCGAAGAGCGAGGGTGAGAAGGCTCGTTGCATTGTGTTTGGCGGTGATTGTTGTTGCTTCTTAGGTCTTTAGCCTAATTAGGTCCGGTTTGTGTGTGCGTGCGTGTGCGCTTGCGCGTACGTGCGTTTAGGTTTTCTTTTTGTATATTTGTTTCCTCTATATGTGTATGAGTGTGTATGCGTGTCAATGTGTCCCTTTATGTATGTATGTCCATGTATGTATGTGCGTCTGACTCCGTGCCGCCACATACGTATGCAGGAGCGAGCGTATTGTCTTTGTCTCGCCGTGTATTTGAAGACAGACATAGTCACAGACACAAGTCAAATAGACTGGAGTTCAAAGTCGTCCCATGAGACAATAGCACCCAGAGTGGGGTGGGGGAGGGGAGGGTAAGAGAGAGAGAGAGAGAGAGAGAGAGAGAGAGAGAGAGAGAGAGAGAGAGAGAGAGAGAGAGAGAGAGAGAGAGAGAGAGAGAGAGAGAGAAGGAGTGTCAAAGGCACACCAAAAGGGCAGGCAGCCATTGAGTTACGGCGGCGATGTGGCGCAGAGGAGGGAAGGAGAAGGAAGGGGAATAGGAGAAACCAGGCAAGTCAAGGGTGTAGTTCAAAGTCGTCGTCTTTGGTTCATGTTGCTTTGTTGAGAGAAGGAGAGAGGGGGGGGGGAGGAAGGAAGGAGGAAGGAAGGAGGAAGGAAGGGAGAGGAGAGGAAGAAAGAGGGAAGGGAGGGAGGGAGGGAGGAATGAGAGAAAAGAGAAAGGAAGAGAAAGAAGGGGGAGGCAGATAGACAGGAAAAGAGAATAAGAACCGTATATATACAGAAACACACACCCAGAGAGAGAGAGAGGAGGAGGAGGAGGAGGAGGAGGAGGAGGAGGAGGAGGAGGAGGTGGAGGAGGAGGAGGAGGAGGAGGAGGGGGGGGGTGGATATATTCAGAGCGAAAGAGACACACAGAAGGGAAAAGGGAGAGACACATTTAGAGAGAGAAAAAAGGGCCCACATCGGGAAACATAATCATGAGGCCCTGGCACCGCAGACCACTGGGGATCAAACAGCACCACGAAAGGGTCATCATCACGCGACAGGATTTTCAACGGGATGTGGTGCCTGGCTGGTGCGTGGGAGGAAGAGGAGGAGGAGAAGAAGAAGAAGAAGAAGAAGAAGAAGAAGAAGAAGAAGAAGAAGAAGAAGAAGAAGAAGAAGAAGAAAAAAAAAAGAAAAGGAAGGAGAAGAAGATGAGGAGGAGGAGAAGAAGAAGAAGAAGAAGAAGAAGAAGAAGAAGAAGAAGAAGAAGAAGAAGAAGAAGAAGAAGAAGAAGAAGAAGAAGGAGGAGTGGGAGTGGGGTGGAAAGAGGGGAGAAAGATGAAAGGAGGGAGGAGGAGATGAGAGAGGGTTATTGGGAGACGAAGAGGGGGAGGTTAAGGAAGAGAGGTGTGGGTGGAAAGAGGAGAAAGAGGGAAGAGGGATGAGAGGGGATAGGAGGAGGAATGGGAAGATAGGTGGGGGTGACAAAAGATGGAGGAAGGAGAGGAGGACGATAGGGGAGAGGGAGATATTGCAAGACAGAGCAAACGAAGGGGGGAGCAGAAACAGAGGGAAGATACAAGACAAAAATAGTTAAACACAAGAGGAACGAATGCAAATTGAAATAAAAGAAAACAAAGCGAAACTAACCCTTTATTCGTTGCTCAGTGAACGAAAACATAGAGACCAGAACGCAGTAAAATGGAGAACCTATGTGAGGATCGAAAGACAAAAACACAAATCAAGAACAAATAAATGGACGGGAGCGAATGAAAACAAATACAGCAGTAAAGAAGACGAAAGGAGAGCGCCTGCTAAGAGGATCAGCATCACACGCGAAGATGCTGTGAAGGGAGACCTCTTGAAGACACGTGTTTTGAGACGAGACTCGGGGGGGGGGGGGGGGATTATTGGCGTCCTCTCGCTCCTTCGCTTTTATTCTTATATCTTGTTTTCTTTTTTTTTCTCTTTTCTTTCTCTCTCTTTTGCTTTTTATCTTTCTCTTTCTTTTAATTATTTTTCTCTTTTTTTAATTTTCTCTCCTCCTCCAACACACAGTGTGTGTAGGAGGGGCTTTGCAATTGTTACAATGATTATTCCTAAGAATAACCGTTGTAACAAATGGAATTAAGTATTTTGAAGAGCCTTCAACCCTCTCGTCCCCCAACCCCGCAGCATTATTTCCCTCCCTCATTCACTCACTCTCTCACTCTCACTCACTCACTCATTCTCTCTCTCTCTCTCTCTCTCTCTCTCTCTCTCTCTCTCTCTCTCTCTCTCTCTCTCTCTCTCTCTCTCTCTCTCTCTCTCTCTCTTTCTCACTCTCTCTCTCACTCTCACTCTCACTCTCTCTCTCTCTCTCTCTCTCACTCTCACTCTCTCTCTCTCTCTCTCTCTCTCTCTCTCTCTCTCTCTCTTTCTCTTTCTCACTCTCTCTCTCTTTCTCTCTCTCACACACACACACACACACACACACACACACACACACACACACACACACACACACACACACACACACACACACACACACACACACACACACAGACCAGACCCCCTTCGCCGGCTTCGACAAAGGGCAGCAAATACCGCGCTGCTTATGCCGTCCCAGTTACACTTGTCGGGGACGAAAACGAACCAGAAACAAACAAATCCCCCGTCGTTAAGATGAGAAGGAAAGGGGGTAAGTAAGAAGTTAAAGATGCTATCGAGGAGGAGGAATTGCACCTCGAGCCTCGGGGGGGAGGGGGGGTGCTTGGCTGGAACGAGAGGAGGGGGGGGGAGGGGCAGGGGAACATTTCTCGGGCATGTTTAGACGGTCGGGGTGTTGTGTGCGTTCGCATGGGTGAAGCTCCGAAGCACCATGGTGTGCGTTGCGTGATGGGATTCTCGAAGCAGTATTCGAAACACACGAAGGGATATTGAGAGAGAGAGAGAGAGAGAGAGAGAGAGAGAGAGAGAGAGAGAGAGAGAGAGAGAGAGAGAGAGAGAGAGAGAGAGAGAGAGAGAGAGAGAGAGAGAGAGAGAGAGAATCTTCACTAAACAGACTGTAAGAGAAATAGACAGTAAGATATATGGATACTTATAGATAGATAGATAGTTTGATCGGTATAAATAGATTGGATAGATATATTGATCAATATAAATAAATTAGATAGATAGATAGATAGATTGATTTCCACTAAAGAGAGTTCAAGTCTTTATATATGGTCTGGGAGGCTTGGAAATAGACAGACACAAACTAACCATGACCGGACCTCCTACGCCATGCAGCTATACACAGATAAATAAATAAACATGAAATCACTCAATCGACATTTAGCTCAGCGGAGAAGCAAGGCGAGATGCTAATACAGCGTCTCAGCCATTCAGTCACTGCTTAGCCTTTTTTGTTTACATGACATCATTCTGTTCTCCCTTTGATACTCTGCTTTTTATCATTCCCACGCTCATTCATCGTATCATTAGTCCACAAAGAGTTCCAATTACGCAAAAAAATGAATAGAAGAATAAAAAGAGATTTAAAAGAAGGTAAGGAAAAGCATTGCCCGCGTCGATTCGGTGAGATTATCCTCATCAAGGTAGCTCGCCTGACGCTTAAATAAATGGTCTTCCCTTAGTCGTGACTATTAAGCCCTCTTTTTATGCTCCTTTTCGACCTTATAAGGATGCAAGGATCTATTTATCTCCGTCCTTCCTTCACGAGGAATTGTTCACGGACTTAAGCTAACAAGTGTTTCTTTAGTTCTTCGTCTTCTTGTCTTCGGATCTAATTTTGTTTTCTCTGTTTTCCAGGTGTCTTGAGTGCAGGCTGAGGACACCGGCTGGACGGGAGAAGGCGGCAGCGCGTCAGCAAGTCGCTCGTCAGTCGCCAGGACCGCGTTGTGAAGCGTCGTGGCCTTGAGTGTCACCCTTGTTGTGTCTCCCTGTGTTGTGCTGAGTGTTGTGCGCGTGTTACCCTCGTGGACTTGACTTGCACGAAAGTGGAAGCGTTCAAGTTGTCGCCGCCCATCCACGCGTTCTTGTGTACCTGACCCGCGTTGTGCTGGCAGTGAAGTGAAGAAAATCTTTGCAACTCTGAGTGAACTCTGTAAGAACACTGGAAGAATTTCGTTTGTCGACCGAAGAGAACAGAATTGACCCCAAGTGAACATTTGCAATTCTTACCAATCAGAACCTTGACCTAGCGTTTGTGCCTATTGGCAGGCCCTTCGCCGCCCGCACGCCCTTCGCTCGTGCCTGTGCGTGGGCGCCGTGACGAAGCGCAGCCAAGGTGCGTTACAAAGCGGACTCGGACGGTCGCTTCCTCCCGCGTGACCCTCCTATATGCAAACAAAAGCGCGTCGGCTCCGACCTCGCCTCCGCCTCCGCCGCCCACGCAGCCACCGACGCCCTCCTCAGGAGCCCCGGGCCCCCCAGGCCCCCCCGCGGCAGCGCCTGCAGCAGCCCGTCCGCCGCCGCCGCCGCGCCGCTCCGCCGCAGGGACAGGGTATCTATGTCCTTCTCGGTGGCCAACCCGGGGTCGTCGTATGCCGCAGCGAGCGCAGCCCAGGGCGCCTGGACACCTGACCAGGACTCCGTCGTCTCGGGCTTCACCGACGCCAGCATCTACGCGTCGCTCCAGCGCCACCCGCAGGCCGGGCCTTTCCCGCACCCGCAGCACTTCCAGCAGCAGCAGTACCACCAGCAGCAGCAGCAGCCTCCGCCGCCTCACCTCAGGCGCAAGGCGTCCTTCGTGTCTCTCCGGAGCGCCAATGCTCGGCCTCTGCACAAGAGAGGAAGGTGAGGAGGCATAGGCAGATGTTTTTTTTCAAATTGTTTCTATTATTGCCTTTTCATTATTCTTATTATTTGCAGCCGTTTTATTACATCATTCACCCCGGTCCTGTTCCAATTATCGTCTCCAAATAACCTCAATATATATCTAATGCACAACCTTACTAATACTAACATGTAAATCCAAAGATATGTCTATATTAGTCCCAACGCGATACCAAACCCAGACTTCCTCTGCACTCTGGTAGTTAAACCGAGATGGAATAAATATTCACTTCCGACGAGCCCCACGACCAGCCAGGCCATCACGACATCCACACGCGAAGATCATTAGTGCCAATCCTGTTCCGCCGTCGCGCTGGACTTCGATGTCCGTCTGGTCCTTTTGGGGATGTCAGAGCGTCACCTAATTGATCCCGCTGTCTTGTTTCTCTCCGGGATAAGTGACTCGATCTCGCGGGGCCGCACTTATTATCTCCGACATGGATACTCAAAAAAAAAAAGAAAAAAGAAAAACGAGTCGTATGGTATAGCCTCGAGCTGTACCATAACCATGTAACGAAGCAAGAGAATAGGGGGGGGGGGCAACGTCCACAGGCGGCGGAAATATTCATACATATAATCAGTTTAAAATTATTCCTGTTAGTAATAACACTACTACTACAAGTGATAATAATTATGATAATGATGGTGATGATGATAATAATGATGATAACATTGATGATAATAAAAAAATTAAATGATAATGTTGATAGCGATGATGATGATAATGATGATAAAGATAATGATATTGGTGATGATCATGATAATAATGGTAGTGGTGATGATAATAACAATAATGATAATGACAATGGTAATCATAATCATAATAAAGATAACAGTGTTGTAGTTCCATCCGAAGGACAACAATAATTGCTAATGTACCCGATGTAGGTTCCCTAAACCATTTAAGCCTCGCATCAGACACATCTCATTAAATGTCTCCAAATTGGCTTGTTTCTCTGTGATAAGTTAATGAACTTGCAAATTAAAATTTTCTTGAATGTCCAACTCCTGACCATCAAAATCACTTGATTTTGAAGCGAAATTAAAGGTTTTTTTGCAGTATTGACAATCTCTCTCTCTCTCTCTCTCTCTCTCTCTCTCTCTCTCTCTCTCTCTCTCTCTCTCTCTCTCTCTCTCTCTCTCTCTCTCTCTCTCTCTCTCTTTCTCTGCCTCTCTCCCTCTCTCCCTCTCTCTCTCTCCCTCCCTCCCTCCCTCCCTCCCTCCCTCCCTCCCTCCCTCCCTCCCTCTGCCTCTCCTTCCCTCCATCTCTCCTATTTCCTCCTTCCCTCCCTCTTTCCTCTCTCTCCCTCCCTTCCTCTCCCACTCCCACTCCCTCTTCCTCTCCCTCTCCCTCTCCCTCTCCCTCTCTCTCTCTCTCTCTCTCTCTTCCTCCTCATTCTTTAAGTTCATTTCCAGAAGCTGTCCAGCATGCATAATCAGCTGTAATAACTTGAGCAAGTCATCAGCATTCTCAAGTCTGTTGCTGGAATCGTTAGGCAGTTGATGGAGTGAGCGGTATCGGGGAGGAAACGAGGAGGAGAGGAGGGGAAGGGAAGGGGAGAAGGAGAAGGGAAGGGGAGAAGGAGAAGGGGAGAAGATGAAGAAAATGAATTAGAAGAGGAGGAGGAGGAGGGGGAGATGGAGGAGGGGGAGGAGGAGGGGAAGGGGAAGGGGAAGGAGAAGGAGGAGGAGGAAGAGGGGGAGGAGGAGGAGGAGGGGAAGGAGGAGGAGGAGGGGGAGGAGGAGGAGGAGGAGGAGGGGAAGGAGGAGGAGGAGGGGGGAGGAGGAAGAGGAGGGGGGGGAGGAGGAGGAGGAGGAGGAGGAGGAGGAGGAGGGGGAGGAGGAGACGAGGAGGAGGAGGAGAAGAAGTAGGACGATGATAAAGTTAGATATAAAAAAGATTAAGATTAGGAAGATCGAAGTGGAGTTGGACAGGAGGATAAAGGAGGGGAAAAAGGGGGGGGGGAGTAGGAAAAAATAGGATAAGGTGACGGCATTAGAGGAGGAGAAAAATGGAAGGGAAAAAGTGGAGCTAGAGAAGAGGAAAAAGAAAGAGAAATGATCAATGAAGCAGAGAAGAGAGAAAGGATAAAGGGGAAGAGGAATAGGAGTGGTAATGATGATAATGAAAGAAATTATAAATATGGTAATGATAACAATAGCAAAACGAAGGAGAAAAGGATCGCAAAAAAGGGAAACAGAAAAAAGAGATGATAAAAGATTAAAAAAAAAAAAAAAAAACAGGAAAAAAGAAAAAGAAAAAGGGGGAAAGAAGATGGGGAACATGCACACACGCCCTTCTTGCCCCAAGAAGTCCAACCAACATGGCCGCCAACTCAAAATGTCAAATTTGTTTCCAGAACTTTTTTTTTTTTTTTTTTTTTTTTTTTTTTTTTTTGCCTCTTGGAAGGAATCTGATTAGATATGCCTTTGATAATTAGCTCGTTACGTTCGCTTACGGAATTTTCCTAACTGGGAAAATTGATTGGGCGATGGCGTGTCTCGTTAATTTGGTTGTTGTATTATTGCTCTCGAAAATTGTGTGGATTTTCTCCTTATTTTTTAACAAAATTTAGTGGTTCGTAAGATTGTATAAAAAGTATATTCTTATCGTTGATGATTCTTTTATAAGTCTTCTGGCAGTGATGATGATGTTAATGACGGTGATGACGATTAGAAAATCACTACCGGAAGTGGTATTAATGGTTACGGTAAGGGGTCGTTCACAATTGTCAACATTTTCACGAGCGTACAAAACGTACACTTTTTCAGGACCCCCTCCCCCCCTCCCAAAAGTGTACAAAATAAAATGTTGATTTCTCAGAAGAACTATATTCAAGAAATAATACACTCTACAGTACAAATAATATCGCCAAGCAACTAGTTAAAAAAAAGCCAAAGTAAAACGTGGTAAAACTTGAGCAAAAAAGCCAAAATCCACCAAATTCAGAAATAAAAGAAATCGACATTTTTATGTTTTCAAAAAGCGTACGCGGACCTCAGACCCCCTCCCCCCTAGCGTACGGTTTGTACGCCCGTGAAAATGTTGACAATTGTGAACGACCCCTAAAATCAGTAATATCGAAATGATTAGGATATTATGATGACTTTAAGGATGAAGATATATCACTGGTCATAATTTCGATAACATTGATACGTCTATTGGTATTGATAACAGATATTAATGATAATGATATTTGACGAGAAATGCGACAGCAGACAGGCAGTAGCAACAAGAAAGTAGAAATATAAATCAGTGCTTGGAAAATTCTACGGTTTAAATTCTCCGCGTTTCACTCATCGTCGTGGTGATACGTCTTTCGAACTTTTTTTTTCTTTTTTGTTTCTCTTAGGAGCTCATAGATTTTGTGTTTTTATTTCGTTGAGGGAATGCTTCGCCCTCAGAATAGCAAGGACTGTCGGCGGCGGTCAACCATTTTTTTCTTAGATTTATAAACCGCGTAGGGCATTCCGTTGACCTTCTGGTGAATTCCCAAAAATAATGTGAGGAAGATCTTCTACCCCCCCACCCCTCATCCCCCCGCCCCTCCTCCTTTGTCAATAGCTTTGGAATTCTCTAATTGCAAAAACACTCTTTGATTGACTTGAAACCTTAATCCATTGAGATAATTGTAGGATTCCCGAGTCCTTAAGAAGTCTTAGCGCGCCAGATGAGATCATGAGCGCGCGGCTGCTCTCTGTTCCTCGGTTGTTCCTTCTTTTCCTATTCCTTCCTTCCTTCTTTCCCTTCTTCTTCATCTCATTCGCTTTATTGTTTATTTTATTTTTGTTCTTTATATTCTATTTTTTCTGATTTTTCCCTTTCGTTTTCTTTTTCTCTCGTCCTTCTCCTCCTTCGTTCTTTCGTCTCTTCTTATTTATTATCTCCATTTTCTTTTTTATCATTATCGAGAACGTATTAATAGATACATATATCTGGACACGCGAGGAGAGAAAAATAACACAATATCTAAGTTAAGAAAGAAAAGAAAAGACTTAAGCCCCAAATAATTTTCATCCTTTCTTGACTTCACTCGTAGCCTACATTTCCTGGAGGTATTTTGGGTGACCTCCTCTGCCCCTCCTGCCCCCTCCTACCCCCTCCTGCCCCCTCCTACCCCCTCCTGCCCTCCTCCAACTTCACCACTTACCGCCCCTCACTCGCCTGTGTTCTCAGTTTATTTAATCGGTCATTAAACACATATATACATGTGTATATCTCTATATAAATCGCTCATTACTAATTCAGTAATTCCCCTTTCTGCAGAGTTCAGAGAGCACATTCCATTTTCTTAACATTTTTGTTGTGGGGAACGGCAGTTCTTTTCCATTGAATCAAGGATAGATAGCATATCTGTGCCACACTGTCATTTGTTTCAGTTTGGAAAGTATTATTCATTAATAACGGAAAATAACTGCGTATATGATTAAAAAAAAACGTAAGTTTTGGCTTTTACTTGAGTTCAACTATTGAACTAATAGGAGAGGAAGCTCGTTATGGACAGGCATGTGTAGCCCCTATGTAGGCCTACCCTCTTAGTAGGACTGCTCTGTATCGTATATTTCATGTTTCACCACTAATACCCTCCCGCTTTGCACCGCCCGCCACCTATTTCCATGCGTCGCCACCAACCCCTGGCTTCCTCCCGCAGGCGTGTCAGCGAGATGACGGCCGGAGTAGGCGGCGACGGGGGGATGGGGGGAGAGGTGATCGAGGTGCAGATCCTCCCGCAGGACGACAACTGGGGAGACAACACCACCGCCATCACGGGGAACACCTCCGTGCGCTCAGAGTCCTTCCAGGTGGGTTCAGTGTGTGTGTGTGCGTGCGTGTGTGTGTGTGTGTGTGTGTGTGTGTGTGTGTGTGTGTGTGTGTGTGTGTGTGTGTGTGTGTGTGTGTGTGTGTGTGTGTGTGTGTGTGTGCGCGCGCGCGCGTGTGCACGTGTATATGTAAGCCTTTGTGACTTGCGTATTTTTGTGCATATTCATACCAATCAGCCGTGGAATCAGAACCACCTTGCTACTTCGGCCCTGCCACTCACCCTCCCTCGCTCTTACAGGATGTCACAATAATCGGGAGAGACCAGGAGACAGGTGTGACCTTCACGTGCCAGCGATACATTGGTTCGGCTTTGTGTGCCCTCGTGGCCTTCCTGGCTTTCCTCAGGTGAGCTGACTTGATGCCTAGAATTTAGGTGAAACAATGTGTCGTAGTTTATTGTCTTTTAGCGGATGGTGTCTTTTCCACGCCGTTCAAATTGAAGATTATCTAAATCATTCCGTCCCCACAGCCCGATAGATGATATAGATTCATTACACAGCCAGCCAACTTCTCGCCACAGAATACTTTTTCCAACAGTTGATTTCAACAAGACTCACAACGTAACTTTATACTCAGCAACTAACTTGTCTCACCACATCCATTTTAACCCCAGGCTCAGTAGCAACGTAAGCCATTCGTTACACAAACGAGCCTCTCTCACAGCCTCCTTTCTCTCACGACCTAACTCGTTTTTTGTCCCTCTTGCCCCTCAGCCCCATAGCGATGGTGCTGATCCCTCGCCTGAATATTATTAAGCTGAAGAACGACCCGCCTCTGTGCGACACCGAGTGCGACGGCCTCCTCATCAGCTTCTCGTTCAAGCTCCTCATTCTCCTGCTGGGGTCGTGGGCGCTCTTCTTCAGGTACGTATTTGGAAGGATTTTCTTTCTCTCCTTTTCGTTCTGACACCAATCTGCTTATCAAGTCATTACCACAGTTATTCTCCCGCCATTTTTATCAACATCCCCAGTTCTACGTGCGACCAAATTGCACATCGTCATACACCAACACTAATATAGCATTACATTGTCTCCTCCAGGCAACCCAAGGCCACCATGCCCCGAATCTTCATCTTCCGAGCTCTGGTGACGATGCTCATCCTGGTGTTCACGTTCTCCTTCTGGCTGTTCTACGTCGTGCGCATCATCGAGAACACGGAGAAGGTAATTATAATGGGGAGATTAGGTGGTTTGTCTCGGTATTTATTTTTATTTGAAAGCGTTTAGGGTAGGAATGGTTTCGTTTTGGTGAGTGTTGTGTGTTTCTTCCTTTTTTTTCTCAGAATACATGGATTTTTCAAGATATGTTCTTATATATCTGCAGTTAGCCCCATGAGATTAAATCATATACTAAGAGATATCCATGAAAGACTATTTGAAGTTTTTATGTTAATATTTCATAATGGGAATTTTAAATATGAATTTAAAATGAGTTATAGATGACAAAGAAAGACCTCCCAAAACAATAAGTACAGAAATTAACATCGATAGCATTCCCCTCCAGAACTGACTTTTTAAAAATCCCAACATTTTAATTACAAAAAAAACGGACTTACCCACAAAACAAAATACAAATCACTCAACATACAGAAAGACCTGAAATGAAACAAAATGCTAAAATAATCTATGCTCACATAACCTGACTCTCCCCGAAAACCACAGGTGCAATACCGCTCTATCGTCTACTTCGCTGTGAGTCTGGTCGACGCCTTGTTGTTCATCCACTACCTGGCTGTGATTCTGCTGGAACTGCGACACCTGACGCCCCAGTACAGCGTCAAGGTTCTCAGGTCACCCGACGGGGAAAGCAGGTTAGTAAGAGAGCTGTTTGATTACCCAGTTAATTTGATTTGCATTTTCGTAAATAATGTTATATTATTGATGTGGTTGAGGTGCCTTTATTTTAATTTTTTAGGGGGGGGGGGGATGTACTGTATAGTTTGTCAGTATTTTCAGGCGTGAGAAAATTGATGAGTTATCTGTGTATGTTTGGCACTTGTCTTTAATTAGTTGTATTTTGTATTTATATCCTTCCGTTTTCTAATCCACTGCCTTGTTTCTCTTCCTTTGAACTTAAATCACACGATTTAATTACTCAACTTCCATTAAATCTTATCTTTCTTCCTGTGACATATTTACTTCCAATCCTTCCTCCCTTCGATGTACCTCCCTCCTACCAATTCTTCCTTTGCTTTATTTCCCTTCAATCCATTTTTCGTTTTTATATTTCCCTTCGATCCATTTTTCGTTTTTATATTTCCCTTCAATCCATTTTTCCTTTTTATATTTCCCTTCAATCCATTTTTCCTTTTTATATTTCCCATCAATCCATTTTTCCTTTTTATATTTCCCTTCAATCCACCCCATTCACCCCCCCTCTGAACCTACAACAGGTGGTACAACATCGGCCAGCTGAGCGTCCAGCGCGCAGCTGCCTGGGTCTTGGAGAAGTACTACCAGGACTTCTCCATCTACAACCCCTACTTGGACCGCCTGCCCTCCAAGAAGAAGCACTCGACTAACTCCTCCTTCAAGTATTACGATGTGGATGGCAACGAGGAAAATGCTGAGGTTGGTGTTGTGGTCCGAGTTTTTATATTATTGTTTCACTTATTCATTTATTATAAGGAGGGGATAGGAGGATACTTTGCTTTGTTTTGGGACCAGGTGTCTGCTTGCTTGCTTGCTCGGGAGGAGTCTTTTGTTGTTCCAGGCTTGGGAGTTAATTGAAGCATATTAATTTATGGTGTATATTTTCGTAAGGCTGGGTTGTTGTTTTTCAGTGTGTATTGTGTATTATAACATCTCTTGAAAGAAGATGTATATTTATCAAATATAATTTTTTAAAATATTTAGCCAGCTCCACACAACATAACACAATAGACAAATCAGAAAAAAACTTGGTAACACCATAACAATCTAACATTTTCTTGCAAATTTTCTAGGGCCATACACGAGCTGTATTAACTGCGAGTGCTCGACGACGTGATTCCGCTCACAATGAAAGGTTCTATGAGGAACACGAATACGAGAGAAGAGTGCGAAAGCGAAAGGCTCGGCTCATAACAGCAGCTGAAGAAGCTTTCACACACATTAAGCGAATGCATGAAGAGCAGGGTAAGAAATTCTGTTATATATAAAGAATGTGAGAAAGAAATCTAGTATATGAGATACGTAAATGTAGTGTTCATTTCAGATATTCTTTTGTTTAAGGGTCAAAAATGAAACCTCTAATCTTTCTAAGACGTAGACTTACAAATACTGTTGATTTCAGGTCCAAGTGCTCCAATGGATCCTCATGAAGCAGCCCAGTCCATATTCCCCTCTTTAGCACGAGCTTTGCAGAAGTATCTGCGCATCACAAGGCAGCAGCCAAGACACACTATGGAGTCAATCCTGAACCATTTGGCCATCTGTCTTGCACATGATATGAGTCCCCGGGCTTTCTTAGAAAAGTACCTTTTGTCATCGCCTGTGTTACAGGTTAGTTTTGTAGAATTATTGCTGTGCATTTATTACAGTAATATTATGAAGGCAGAATGTAGAATTGTGTCCACTTTGATGGTTTTTTTTTGTCTTTTATATTTCCATTGTTTCATTCTATTTTAAAAACTCTTTTCTGCATAATCTGTAGGATATCTAACCACAATCTTTGTATTTACAGAATGATAAAGAACACCGAGGAGTCCAGTCATGGGGTCTTGTGTGTGACCAGCTTCTCTCTCGAGCAATTGACGAAGGCACCATTTTCCAGCTACGTCAAGCAGATGTGTGTCTCCTGTGCAGTGTCCATGCTATTCCACACTTTTCTATAGCTGAGGAAATCATTCACCCGAAAAGCAACAAATTTGTTCTCAGGCTGAACTCAGAAACCAGTGTATAATTCTATAATTTTTGTGACAAAATGGACATATGGAATTTTCGGACAATTCAAAGTGTTAAGTGCGATAATGAACGCTACATTTACTGGTTCCACTGACATTCAAGTGATACCCATGTGTGTCAATGTGTTCCCTCTGCCTACCATGCCAAAGTTAATAGACAACTCCCAGTTAAGTGTGTGAATCAACTCTCAAGTTACATCATGTTCCTGATGATACTCTGATCTGGAATGGAATAGGATGACATTGCTGTCTTCATATACAGTATGTGTTTGCATAAAAAATATTAATGTCATGTTCACAAAAATTATGCTTAAAAGTGAGAACCTAAGAGTGTATTAGAGGTGTAGAGAGAATGGACATCTCTTGTTATCCCTTTGGAAAGGTGAAGACAATACGTTACTCATACACCCAAAAGCTTTGTAAATGGTTGTTGTCTGATCAAGAGAATCAGTAGTAGAAAAACTGCACAAGAAGTACACCTCATCCCACCTGAAGCTTCCGTTGTGCTGGCCCTTATTTGTTGTTGCCTTACGATCTAAGCTATGAAATCTGTCTTTGTTTCTTTCTTTGTGTTCTGTGTACCTTTCCTTATGATCATGGGACAAAGACCCAGTGCACAGTCAAGGAACAGGTTGTATGTATTAATTTCCTAAGCTCAAATATTGTGTATACCTTTATTATACCCAAGAACAGAAAGTTCACCACTTTCTAGTCGTCTGTTATACTTGTAGATCTGTGTGAATGGATTTTTTTGTAAAGGAGCATGCTATGAGGGATGTAAAATTGAAGTGTAATTATGTTGAATAACTAAGTGTAGTTTAAAATAACATTCTCAAGAGCATCATTTCATGGTAAATAATTCATTCATTGCTGCAAATTGTGCATACTGTACCTCTGATGCTACAGTGCCATGCTGAGAGAAGCAGAATTGTGATGTCTCTGCATTCATCATTTTTTATGTAAGAGTAACATTAAAAAGGAAAAAATAATTATCATCATCATTATTATTATTTAGTAATATGATGACCTGATATGCAATGTGTCAGTTACTAGATTTTTTAAATATTTACCTTTTTATATTTTTATTCAGTTGCATCACGGCTATATGAGAAATTGGAATGCGTGAGGGTTGTTTCATGCTAGCAAAACAAAGCACTGTTTGGATGAAGTCCATCAGAATGTCCAAGAATGAAGTATAATTTGATTATGTCGTTTCCATTGTTTAGCGACTGCCTAGTTTCTCAAACCCAATATTGTGTTCTGGGCATAGTTAAATATTCAGGCTATTAGTGTCATGTGTTTTACATGTTGTTTGTCATCCCTAGCTTCTCTTAGCAAGAGTTGTAAACCAGTACAAGCCCCTGCGATGGCATGTGAAATTCAGTTCCATCTGGTGCGTTTATGTTTTTACGTAGAGCCAAAGGTTTCAATTTACGTGTATATAGAGTGTATATATTGATGTTGTTATTTTTATAGCCATACAGTTAGTGTGCTATTTATTTCTTGTGTTTGTTATTCATGATTAGGCAAAATATCTGGAAATTCCATGAAATTCGGTGTTCGACTTTTTGTTTTAGATCTTTTCAAATTAATATTCAACATCGTTAAATTACTTTTAAAAATTACAAATTTTATTCAGAAAGTGTATCAAATGTTGCATTGAGCATTTACATACACTAGTAAAATTACTCATGTACCATTTTATGTATTTTTGTGTAACTTAGTTTATGTATCAATCAGTTAGCAAGATCTTAAAATGTTTAGTATGTTATATCTCATAGACCAAAACATTTGTAGTAACCTATGTGTTGCTATAAAAAGGAGTAACTTCTACCTATTATGGTAAAGCCATTTTCACTGGTTATTATACTCAAATATTACAATAGATTTCCCATAGTCTCAAGTCAACATATCTCTCATTTATTGAAGCTAAAATTTTTACAGACATTCTTTCGTTACCTCAAATTAGGATTATAGTGTGCAGCTGAATGCACTTCCTTGGAACATGATTGTTTCATATATTTTATGTAGTCTAAATCATCAATTGATCATCAGTGGTCTTTTTAGGCATATCAACTTTGTAAAATAGCCTAGTGAGTGCTGTTTATAATAGTAAATAAAATACAGTTATGAGAATGTTGCTTTATTTTTTTAGTCACCTTAACAAAGATATTGGCAACAGTGACTGAAAATAAAAGGGTTGAATGCTTAAACCTTTCAGTAAGAACAAGAGTTTCCTGGAAACTGTTAGGCTTCAAACCCAAACTCACAGAGTGTAATGTTTTTAATGTAATTCTGTAAAGAAACTATAATAAAAATACTAATATCACATTTTCTCTTTGGAATGCAAAGTAACAGTTGTAAAAAAAAAGAAAAAAAAAACCTGCTGCACAAACTTATATAGTTTACTGAGGACGGAAATGACCTAACCTATTACCTGAGAAGCGCAAGCAAATGTTCATAAGAGTTGTCTCAACTTCGATAGCAAATGAGGAGTGAAATGTGGCATCAACTGAGGAGCATGTCTTAACAGGAGCTGCTTCTCTTCCTCTTCCAGTATATTTCTCCTGCAAAGAAAGAGCCATTCTAAACCTCATTCATAAACACTTCATCTGTAACAAATGGTAAACATATGCACCTTACAAAATTTGGTAAACACTCCCCATCGGCAAAATGGAAAAGTAGATATTTAAGAAGCAGCTGCGTAGAGAAGGGCACTACAAACCTAAGCTCTTCATAGTCTCTCGCATATTTGTCTTCCTCTTGTCGCTGCTTCATGATGGCTGCTCGCATTGCTCGCCTCTCCTCAAGGAGCCTCTCTACCAGCATCCTGTGGTCAAGCTGCCTTCTCCTCCGAGCTTCTGAGACCAGCTGATCAAGTCGTGCCTCTTCTGCCAGGACCTCAAGTAGCTGGTTAAGAGATTTGGGAAAAGGGCATGTCAAATCTATTAATGTAAGATACTATATATAGGTATTCAATGCGTGCATCATCTATAAAATTTAGTGATTCTGAAAATGTCTCAACTATCATTAGGTTATAAATCTTACATTCATTACTTATTTAAAGCAAAAAGAAGTATCTAATTGGTACTTTGTTGAGGGAGAAAGGAAGAGATAGAGAGAAAAAGAAAAAAAGAAAAAGAGAAGACTAAAGTAAAATAATGCAAAGCAAAGAAAAGGCAAGAAAGGAATTAAAAGAAGAAAAGAAAAAAAAAAGTAAAAAGAAATACATATATAGACACATTTTTAGATATGTACATATATATATATACACACCACCTGAGCTGAGACACTCAAGCAAGGCAGGGTGATGAATTACAAAATGCTAGCACATTAACTGTCTATACTATGGCATAAAATAATGCTCATCAGAGTATGCCTTTAGTGCTTGCTTGTAACACAGCATCATTTCACTTATATATTTCACATTTGCAACCAACACACGAACATTCACAAACACACACAGATATATTAACCCATTGCCGCAGGGGAAAATGAACAAAAAATGGGGGAAATGCAGTACTCATTTTTTATATTTTTGTGAGATATGTCTGTCCATAGATGGCTCTACTAGTCCTGATTTCACCTTTCTTTGAATTGGCGGGAAAAAACGTATTCTTACTAGTGCTATGAATATAGATGGTGTTATTTTTAACAGCAAAATAGGATAACGTTAAATATTTTTGTAAATCGATGAAAAGGGTGAACGAGCGAGACACGCAGTACTGTAATTGGCGCATTGGATACTTAGTACAAGTGTAGCCATCTATGTGTGAAAACAAGTCGACTCACAGTGGGCATGGCATGTACGTGTGGCAATGGGTTAACCCATTGCCGCCGGGGAAAATGAACAAAAAATGGGGGAAATGCAATACTCATTTTTTATGTTTTTGTGACATATCTCTGTCCATAGATGGCTCTGCTAGTCCTGATTTCATCTTTCCTTGAATTGGCGGGAAATAACGTAATTTTACTAGTGCTATAAATATAGATGGTGTTATTTTTAACAGCAAATTAGGATAACGTTAAATATTTTCGTAAATCGATGAAAAGGGTGAACAGGCGAGACAGGCAGTACTCATAATTGGCTCATTGGTGACTTAGTACAAGTATAGCCATCTATGTGTAAAAACAATCAAACAAGTCGGCTCACAGTGGGCACATGCCATCCCCGGCGGCAATGGGTTAACAAACATACATACTAAATACAGGCACATGCAGATGCACATAGACACATAGACACACAAAGAGGTATCCCCATAAAGGTATATCTACACCTATATCTCTCTCTCTCTCTCTCTCTCTCTCTCTCTCTCTCTCTCTCTCTCTCTCTCTCTCTCTCTCTCTCTCTCTCTCTCTCTCTCTCTCTTTCTCTCTTTCTCTCTTTCTCTCTTTCTCTCTTTCTCTCTTTCTCTCTTTCTCTCTTTCTCTCTTTCTCTCTTTCTCTCTTTCTCTCTTTCTCTCTTTCTCTCTCTCTCTCTATATATATATAAACATATATACACATATACATATACATATACATACATATACATACATCTATATATACACACACATATTAATATCAATATATATCAATATATCAATATATCAATATATATATATATATATATATATATATATATATATATATATATATATATATATGCATATACATATAGATAATACATATATGTACACACACATGTACACACACATGTACACGCACACACACACATAAATATACATTATACATACATTCACACACACGCACACGCACACACACACACACACACACACACACACACACACACACACACACACACACACACACACACACACACACATATATAAACAAAAACTTAAAACACATTTGGCAAAAAAAACAACAACCACCACCTTACCATCTCTCTATACTTTGCTTCATTCTGCTGTTCTCTCTCAAGCTCCTCTTGCTTGTACCTGTGTCAGCATAGATAAGCATCAGAAGATTAACATGGCAATGGAATAAGATTGTAGGCAATGAGACTTTCTGCATAAAAGGGGAAATGCCTATTCATAATAATTTGGCCAACAATGACAGATTAACCCTTAGACTGAATTAAGCAACAGTCGTTTCAATTCTAGACTACTATATTATCTGCCTCCCCACACAATGGGTCTATGCCCTCAAGTCTGTGTTACCAAGAAGATGCTGCTATCTATGTCTAGCGCAACAACCTGATGAGGAGAGATATCGAGATCTATCTATCTATCTATATATACACACAGATGTGTGTGTGTGTGTGTGTGTGTGTGTGTGTGTGTGTGTGTGTGTGTGTGTGTGTGTGTGTGCGTGTGCGTGTGCGTGTGCGTGTGCGTGTGCGTGTGCGTGTGCGTGTGCGTGTGCGTGTGCGTGTGCGTGTGCATGTGCGTGTGCATGTGCGTGTGCATGTGCGTGTGCGTGTGCTTGTGCGTGTGTGCACGCGCGTGCGTGCGTGTGCATATATATACATATAGATACACACACATATATATTAAATGAAAAAGAATTTTTTTGTATGAAATCCACCATTCAAACATTTTTCAAGTCAAGCAGGGAATCTTTACCCTCATTTATAACAAGCAAAGCAGCAACTTTTTCTTTTTGTAACTCATTCTAAACAGTAACATTTCAACAACTGAAGACATTTTCATGATCATTACCATTATCAAGTAAACAGAAACCTCAAATGAGAAAGACTAAAGGCTTCGTGGCAAGCTTTTACAATAAACTGGTGTCTTTGCAATTAGTGCACATGGCTGTGAATTTTTTTTTATCAGAGATTCCCAACTTAAAGGCGATGAAGATACTTGAAAATTACGAGTTTCCAATGAACTGGATTATGACCGCAGTATCCACAGAAATCTTTTGCAAATTAAATTGGAATCTTTCCATACAGTATCCTTTAACTACAGGTACCACTATGCTTTTCATATCTGAATACAATTACAACAGAAAAGATGGCTATCATTAATGAGGCCACAAAACAGAACAGGTTAGGATTCACTATTCTGGACACTTGTGGTACTGCAAAAAGCCCAGCCAGGTCAGATTTTAAAATTTCATTAAATTGTGCATGATTCAAAGATAGAAAGAAGAGGAAATTTTACCTTTAAATAAGCTATCTAGACTTAATATGAACAATGGTAACACAAAGGCAAATTATTCTCTCTCTCTTTCAGCAAAAAAGAAGTTAAAAGAAACTGAATCTCTTTAAGTACTCTAAGAGGAAGTTGAAAATAAATATATAAATATAAATATATCCCTTTTTACTATGTTGTCACATTCAACAGATTTGTGTCAATTTTCACAACACACACAAAGAAATTCAAACCTAAATCTCCCAAAATTGGAATGAAAAACAGGCCTATCACAGTACAGGTTACCCCAGGGACACTGGGTGCCAAACACTTTGACTGAGTGTCTCTCCCTTACCTCAGCTGGTCATCCCATCCTTCCTTCAGACTCCTTCTGGCCTGCTTCTCCCTTGTCTCCTTCTCCACTGCATACTTTGCTTCTTGGGCTTGCTTTTCCAACACCTCCAGCTCAAGCCGCAGCTCTCGTATGTTGTCTTGTTCTTGCTATGGGGTTAATTTGAGTGAAATATTTGAAATATCTTGGTGTATGTTAACTCTCACAGACATACCATTTTATGATCTGACACATATAAGACATATAGGTATACTAAACAATCACTTCTACTTAATCTAGTAAAATTAACAGAAAAAGAGTTGTCTTCTTGGAATTTACAGATCAAAATCTACATTACAATTCTTAAAAACATCATTATCATTATCTACCATATTGCAGAACATTGGTACAGTTTGTAATGTGTCCTCCAAGCATGCATAACTAATGGTTGTACATCCATTTGGGATTAAAGAATAAAACCTGATCTTTTCTATTGAAAGATGGTAATGGTACTTTAAAAATTGACACTAAAAAACATATAAGTACAACAATAACAGCAAAATTCCACCAATCAGAGGAATAAGGACCTAATAATAACAACATAATAATAATATCATGGGGGTGTGTGTGCTTTACCTTCTTTCCCTCTTATTCCTCACCTGCACTTTCTCGAGATCCTTCACAAGGGCGAGCTCCCTTTGGTTCTGCTGAAGGCGTTTCATCTCCTGTTCCTGTCTCTCCACTTCCTTCAGCAGTTCAGCTCGTATGTTATACTCCTCTGCTGTCCTGTGGGGAATTTTCATCATTTTTGACAATCAATGCAAAGTTATGGTCAGGAAAGTAAGTAAGGATATTCAAACTCATCTTTCTATACTTCCCTGCATGATTTATCAGATCACTTTAGACAATATATATACCTTTCCATGAGTTTTTGTCACATTTGACAAGTGTACAGTCAGCTATTCAAGTATGAATACCCTATTTTTGTGCATTTAATAGTATTCTACAGAAAATTATGATAAAATATAATTAATGCCTATTAATGAAAAAATAATTACAAAAGTAATAAAAATGCACATATAAGTTTATATACACTTTCTTAAGTGTATTGAAGGGTATTAAAGGCTTGTAACAACCAGTGAGAGGACCTGTTAGGTATCCATGCACAAATGTTGTATCTTAAACCCTATTTTTTTCCTGGGGTGGGGGGGTGAACCCATAATCTACTTGATGTGGAAATTGTTGTGCTCCTCAAAAAACCTAAATGGTCAGCACCACTTTCCCAATTTTATGTCAGATTAATTCTAATTTGACAAAGTGCATGCACATTTTTTGTCTACTTTGTGTTACTTTTCGGGCCATGCTGGTCATTGTGGATTTGAGGATGAAATCAATACCTGAAACATTTGGAAAAATAATTGGAACCTAGACACCAAAGGAAACAGAGGTGCTGATTGATTTTCATTGTTTCATTACCACATGGTGACTAGTGCAACTTATCTTTTTGAGGGGGCAGTCAACAGTACATGCACTAACTTCTCCAAACAATGTGGTACTACTTCAAAATTGAGCTTTGTGTCACTTGGTAGCATTATTTGCCCTTGGAGATGTCTTTTGAGGACTTCCAGGGATCCTTTTAGGAAGAGGCATTTCCATGCTTCTATCCTTTTGGAAATACTGGCAGTAATTCCACATAATACTGGACCATACACCCTATTGTGGTGTCCAGCTTCCTTTAGTTCAATTATTTTTTTAAATACCTTTCATTAACCCACTGCCGGCAAAAATTTCATAAAAAATGGGGATAATGCTGTGCTCATTTTTTATATTTTTTTGTGAAATGTCTCTACACATAGATGGTTCTGCCTTAACTGATTTTAACTTTCCTTGAATTGGCGGGAAAATGTATTTTTTGCTTGTGCTGTGAATATTGATGGTGTTATTTTTATTATAAATATTATATTTATTATAATGTTTTCGAAAATTAAAGAAAAGGGTGAGCAGGCGAGACAGGCAGTATTCCTAATTGCCTCATTGGTGACATAGTACAAGTGTAGCCATCTATGTGTAAAAACAATCAAATAAGTAAACTTGAAGTGGGCATGGCATGGTATGCCCGTTGGCAATGGGTTAATGTTTTCCCCAAACCAATAATAGGGCCAAAAACCAAAAAAGTAACACAATGTATGTATGTATATGTATATGTATATGTGTATACATATACATACATACATACATATATATATATATATATATATATATATATATATATATATATATATATATATATATATATATATATATATATATATATATATATATACACACACACACACACACACACAATCTAATATTGAGCTTAACAAAAAAATCTTTAATCCAATAAGTGTGGGTGGCAAGACTACAGTGCCATGCCCACTGTAATAGAAGTTTATCTATTGTCTTTACACATAGATAGCTCTACAAGTGCTTAGTCACAAAGGAGTCAGCTATTAGTCTTACCTAACTCACCTGTTTACCCTTTTCCTTGATATTTTGAAAGCTTCATTTCTATCATTTTATTGTTGTTGATGTTATTACTATTTTAATAACAATTTAATAATCATAACATCAGTAAAAATGATAACAACATCAATATTAACAGTATTATAAAGAAAAACAAATATTCCCGGAAATTTAAGATATGGAGAATTCCGTCGTGGTTACTAAGACCAACTAATAAGACTCCTTGGTGGCTGAGCACATGTTAAGTCATCTGTATGTAACAAACCTCACAAAAATCTAAAGCAGACAGAACGTAAACACGCAGACGTTGGGTTAAGGGACAATAATATCATAAAAATTCCAAAGATGAGGGCAACAACTTTAGGAATGGCTGTAAAGATGAGAGTATTGAAACATGCAAAATAAAAGATACATCTATTTTTTAGAAAAGAAAAGAAAAGAAAAGAAGGAAAAGAAAAAAGGAAAAGGAAAAAGGAAAAGAATAGAAAGAAAAAAAAGACAAGAAAAGAAAAGACAATATCTATTACAAAAGGTGATGGTGAAGATGAAGAGGTTGATGATGAAAATGGTACTGGTAATAATGTAATAATAATAATAATCATAATAAAGTAAAATTAGCATTCCATTACCTTGCCCTGTTTCTGTCCTCCATATCTTCCCTCTCTGAATGCAAGGACTTCAAGTGAGTTTGCTTGAGGAGGAACTGTCTCATGTGTTCTTGGTTTTCCATTTGCTTTTTAAGTTTCCTGAAGTGATAAACAAAACAAATTAGTATGAAATGAAACATAATATTAAACTATTTCCCATCAGATTATAGGCAATTCACACCTTTATGTAAGGAATAGCTTTGAAGGCAATGACTACATTCATAGTGTATTCCAATATTTTCTCCTTCTCTCTACCGACTAAACTTCATTCAAATTCCATAACAAAGATAAAAAGTAAATTTTCATACTTCTCATTTCTGACATATTCAATGAAAACAAAACAAATAAGATAAAACAACCGATTCCAGGTCAACCACCTCTAATTCAGCGCCATCAGGACCTAACGTCCACAAGATTAATGAAAGTAATAAAACAGATGAATCACTTATGAAAACAATACAAACTGCTCACAGTAATAATAATTTTTTTTATAATCATATATGCCTTATTCTATCTATATTATTTTCTGACTTGGTTGTGACAATTTATCCAAATTACATAACAATCTCTGTACTCTCCAGTTGTTCTATCAGGCACTTATATTGAATTTCCGAAGATATTTGGTCAGTTTTCCTATACATCTAGGTATGTTCATTTGAAAAGTTATAGTACAATGTCTCAAAAAATGTATAGTTAGTACCAGATTAGTGAAGGAACCTGGTTACCAGAAGGCAGAATAGAGGCGCTTGACCTGTAACAGAAACCTCTCTTACTCCTCTCTCTCTTTCTTCAACATTTTGTCCTCGTCTATTTCTGACATCATTTCCAGCACTTTCTCTGCTTCTGCTTCTGCTTTCCTGGCAGATTTCTCTGCTATTTGCTCTGCAAGTATCTATAAGTGAGTGAGAAAGGGGTAAGTACTTCTTAAAGTGGGTAAAAGAAGAAGAAAAAAAAGAGGATGAGGAAGAGGGAAAGGATGAAGAGGAGTGAGAGAAGGTGGAGGAGATGAAGAATGTGGAGCGGGAGGAAGTAACAAAATATATAAACCATAAATAATGAATCTAAATATCAAATTGCAATGAACTAATAATAACATTTAAAAAACTGTCAACACTTACCCTTTCTATTTCCAGCCTTTTTGCATAACTTTCTGCCTTTGAAATGGCAGAAGAGAGTCTCTCCTCACTGTCCAAACATTCCACCATTTTGGCATATTTTTTGTCATTTTCCTGAAAAAATGAAAAGCAAAAATAAGAAAACTGAAAGCAAAGAAACTATTATCAAAAAGCACTTATCTTACAAAAACAACACCACCAACAACTAAGAACAACAACAACAAAGCAAATTAGAAGTACCTGAGCAACTTTCTTTTCTGCTTCCCTCACTGCGACGGCTGCAAAGTTATCCCGCTTGAGGGCACAAGCTTGCAACTGAGACTCTAGTGCTCTTAGCTCCGGACTCGATGTCAGAATCTGACGCCTGAAAATACAGTGGGTGTTATTCCAAGGCCTCAGAAAAGGGGAAAGTTGTGTTGAGAGAAGTATAGTAATAAAGTTTGAGATCTTAGGAAGACCTCTAAAGAAGAACGGGAGGAGTGAAGGAAGGAAAGAGTAGGAAGGAGGCAGGGAAGAGAGACAATCAAGGAAAGTGAACGAAGAAAGAAAAGGAGAGATGAAAAAAGAAATAAAGTGTGGCTGAGAAGATAGGAAAAAAGGGGGGGTGAGGACTAGACAGTAAGAAATGGAATTACATACAAGGAAAAAAGGTAAACATGGTTAGGGAAGGAGAGGCAGAGGGAGGGAGGGAGGGAGAGAGGGAGAGAGGGAGAGAAGCAGAGAGAAAGAGAAAGAGAAAGAGAAAGAGAAAGAGAGAGAGAGAGAGAGAGAGAGAGAGAGAGAGAGAGAGAGAGAGAGAGAGAGAGAGAGAGAGAGAGAGAGAGAGAGAGAGAGAGAGAGATCTAACTAGATTGGTAGATACTTAGATAAATAAATAGATAGATAGGTAGACTTCCCATATTTGAAAGAGAAATAGATTAAAAGTATGGCATCTTTTATGTAGCATTGTCCAACATGTGCAAAGACTTTTAATAAAGTTGTTCACAGTGTGGCTGGCATTAGTTTCTGCACAGCATTTGTCACAATCCATTTTCTTAATTACTGATGTCATTCTTTGTTCAATTTATCACAGAGTACAGTTATTTCCTCACTTTTGACAGTGTCATCAGATCTTCCCTATCTTAATGTTGGTATTATACAATCATATGTCCAATTTGGATTTTTTTTTACAGTACTTTTGCCTAACCAATTGTGACAATTTTGGTATCAACGGAGTCCTCTCACCCTCTAGTACATATATATGTAGGAATCATTGAAAATTGTGGAGTTAACTAACAATAATATAATAACATAATGAAGATAATACCTTACTATATTGCTGTAGAAAGGGGCCTATGTCCATGGCATAATTTTGATATATTTGGATATTAAAGATTGAGAGGAATCCATCGATACCAAAATCATAACAATCAGTTATGTGAAGGTATTTTGAAAAATTATTCCTAATTATATCAAGATAAATCTCAAACCTTGGGTAATTATTTATAACAACATCATATAAACGATGGCAATGATTTTGGTATCAAAAGATTCCTCTTACTCTATAATACCCAAATATAAAAAAAAAATATACCATGGAATCCCTCCTCCCATAAATTGACTAATTCTCTGTATATTAATCATACTTTATACATAATAATCATACATAATCATATATACTCCTTGACTTCCCTGCTACCATTCATGCCCTTCCATGCTATTGGGGCCAAGACTGTGGGTACGAGGATGGTTTCCACGGCATTATTTTGATATATTTGGATAGAAGACAGTGCGGTATCCATCAATACAAAATAGTTACGATCAGTTATGCAAACATATTTCAAAAAATTACTAAACTATGTATATAACTTCTCTTAAAAATGATCCTAAAGTTAAGGTGTCTATGGCAATATGTGTGCAAATGCTTCCCAAGGGTGCTATACGTAAAAGAAAAGAGAAGATCCCCAATTTTGGCTAAGTCGCTCATCTTCTTTGCATTGTGAGGGTGAATTCTACACTCATATACGACCACAGGGGTCCAGGTGGTGTAGCCCCCTGGCTAGGCATATATATTACCAGGGGGGTCCAGGGGGCATAGCCCACTTGGCAGGCGCATATACTACCACGGTCGTCCTGTTTTACCCCATAATTCCTCTGATATACTTCATGCCCTCAGGAATATCAAGTCAAGATTGTCAATGGTGATCATATCTCCTCAACAATTCATTTGCACAAGGAGCAATGCCTAGAATCATTGAAAGCAGTGGATTTCATGCTGAGAAATATCAAAATTGTTTCGAAAGTAACCCACTACCCTCTTCTACACATTGACCTATCAAACCTCTGTATTCCTGTGAAAGTAATGAATAAGATGACATAAAAATATCAAAAACTTGGAAAATAAAATGAAATCAAGATGACAGAAATCAGTCAAATGTCAATAACTCCAATAACAGCAAAGGGAGCCAGAACCACCTGCTTCCCACACATCAAAGGCGCCTCCATGGAATCTAACATCCAAAAAGTAGAATTAATATCCAAAAAGTAGCCTTAATACCTCAACGCGGCCGCAGTCCACCCACTCTTCTCCATTTCCTACCGAAAGCTCTACGAACACCTTTCTTCTTCTTCTTTCTTCTTTTATAGAGTCTTAGACTATTTACGAAGACCTTTGAATTCGGAAGGAAACTTCTCGGGATGTTTACGTTCTGTCAGGCTCAGGGAGGCGGTATATAATGCTGCTTCTCTCATTCTGTTTGTGGAAAAGATGTGCAGTTGCGCAGAAAAAAATCGATTTTTTTCTATTGCTAATTCTAATTTACAGATGCAAAAAGGTAACGAACATATTAAAATACATATCGATGTTATATAACACTGAAATAAAATGTTAGCAACAAAGAAAACAAGACGATGCTTTAGGGGGTAACAAAAAGATATATATTCGTTGAAATACAACATGAATATTTCACAATACATGCTTACGAATATATACTTACACTGCACACACACGCGCGCGCGCGCGTGCGTTCGTGTGTGTGTGTGTGTGTGTGTGTATACTTTGTAGGTGTAAGTTCTGGCATGGCTCATACTATTATCGATCGTCTTTGATCAGTTGCTTGGAACTGAACTTGATTCGTATGCTTTTGATATCATACAGGTCATTGTTAATCATTTCTGGCCCTTTAAGGAACCGACTTCTTCCACAGCAAGGATGTTTGAGCGCCACCCGTCTAGGAGAAAACATAACTTAAATTTCCACATTGCTGTTACATTTGCGCCAGATGTTAACTAATTTCACATGTACAGTACACTTAACGAAATATCTTTGCCGGTATTGAATGCCTTCCATTTAATACCGGCTTCTTGTAGATTTGCATAATTGTTGAGGTTTGCACCGCCCTCTTGGTACTTTAATTAGGGTAACATTACATATTCTGTGAGATTTGGATTCCATACTTGGCCCTGATACCCAATCACAGAATCACTAGATATTTCCATCATAGATGTTCTGGATCTTTTGTTAATAACATCCTTGTTATCTGTACAGTTTCTCTTGAGGCTGCCCATTCATTATTTTAACTCCTCTGCCATTACTCATAAACAGTTATTGTGTCTTTTAACCTCTCGGATCTCGGATTTTCAGTTCTGGATTAAATCACACAATTTCGAATCTACCAACGTGGTTATCGTATTCTTCTCATTTATCTAATTGCAAGTGACATCTAGATCTAGATGTTTACCGCCCTTGGTTGAATTTCTTCACTTTGGCATTCAGAACACTGGGCAGAAGTGACAATCCGCCAGCACCGATCACCGCCCATCGCATTGCTTAGTTTCAATTAAGTTTGTCTTCAACGTCAAAATGAATAGTGTATAATCTGCAAATGATGTTACAGTGAAATGATTAATAGCTTTATCAGTGACTTAAACTTATTTATGAACAGCAGAAGCCCATCACCTAAACCTTTTGACTCTCCTGGTATTTGATTCTCAAGAGAAGATTCCGTTAATCAGTACGTTTTGTGTGTGGTTTGTTAAGTATTATATAGCCATCCTCCTACTGAAGTTATTCATTTTGTGTTGTAATACTGCGTGACGACATTATCGAACGCCGTTACGAAATGTAGGAATATTATTTTGATTCATATTTTCGATTCGGTCCTTTAGTCTATCCTTAAACTGGCTCTCAATTAGGAATAGACAAGCTTTACTGAAGCCAAGCTGTTTAATGATAATGATAATAATAATGATAAAGATTATAATGATAATTATAGCAATCATGATGATATTAAGATTGATAATAATAACGATAATAATCATTACTGATATTATCATTATTATCATTATCATTGTTGTTGTCATGGTGCAGGACGTTTTTCATGCTCCTCATATTACCTGAGTTATCAGTGTCACTGACCTGTTCTTTTTGCTTCACTGACATCCCTTTTGTTGAAAATTACCTTCGATAAGATTTTCCCTTTCATCATTAATGGTACTGAGATTTTATTTAGAGTGCTTGTTATTAATGTTTCCATTTTAGGCACATCAAGTCCTTCCTCATATTGCAGTTTGAGGAGTCCGTTGGATTGAATAATACATTAGCCCCCTTTTCGAGTGGGTTAAACTTTACCTTTTTCTGTAATGGGGTGTTGGTATAGACTTTCTCTCTTATAACTTCACCTGCTCTTCCCTTTCAGTAATCATTCGGTTACTTATAGATTCTTAAATTTATGTCTTAATTCCTTTATTTCTAATTCCTTCCCTTTTGTTATAGTTGATATAGTCCTTCGCTATACATGCAAAATACTTATAAGGGAAAGAAAAAGTTCCATCACTATTTCATGATCTATTCAAGGGAAAATAACTTTAAAATTCGTGGGGAATTGTTGCTTGCTGGGTCTCATATCTGGTAGTAGTTCTTGCCGTTCAGTCTCCTTTCCTTCCCAGTCCGTGAAAAGAAATCAAAGATACGCCTTATCGTGTTCCCTCGGGTTCCCTTGTGGTTGTGCTATCATTACTAATGATATTCGATGTGTCGCTGGAAAAAGGCTTCTGGTGAGTCAGGTGCTCTGTGTATAACAATGTTTAATTCTCTTGTATGTTCGTTTATTACCACTCGTACCTCCACTTACTATTGCTATTACAATATATATTTTTTCTGATATATAGAGGTACTCCTCTTCCATTTCTAACTTTCTTTTCGTATTACCCCAAAGTAATTGATTTTAATCTCTTTATCTAGAATGGCTTCTTGTAGATTTGCATAATTGTTGAGGTTTGCACCGCCCTCTTGGTACTTTAATTTTGTTTGGGTTGCTCTTGGATGTAAATCCTGTATATTTAGTAGTTTTAAAGTCCCTAAAACTCTCTTTGTTATTAAAGCGCTCAGTCCCCTTCACTTCGCCCACTTCTGTTCGTGCTGACCCTGCCTCCGAGGCTGCGGTGGCGCTTCCTCTCGCGTTGGGCGGAGAAGCAAGTTTCGCTGGGCTGAGCGTTCTTATCTGTCGCTGTTGATGGCCACTTTTTAGCTCATTTACTGAACTCTTGTTTTTTGTTTCTCTTCTTAGTTTAGGCCTAGTACTATCCATTTTCCTTTTTGTTTTTTAAATTTCTTTAATCTTCATGTTTTTTTTCCAGTGTGTTGTCACTTTCGTGTTTCATTTTCTGAGTTAACCACTACTTAGCTAAATTTTCAAGATTAGCTCTTCACTGAAGGCAGTCTCAACTTTAATTGATTCATAAAGATGAAAACTCGTTTTGATATTTTTAACATTTTCTTTGTCAATTGCTTCTCTGTTTTCAAGGTCAAGATCCCTTTGTTCGACGCTTTAGATGAACTATCTGTTTACTCTAATTGCCTCACTTTTTATGTTGCTTACTGCTTCTGCCTCTCCGGTGTCTTCTGATTTCTGATGTTTGTTTATGTCTATGCCTGGCACCCCCCAGTCAGCCTCACCGTCGGGTGCCGTTTGTTCCGCGTCTGGAATATTCAGTTGGCTTCTGTTTGTTCTGCTTTGCCGTTGTTGAAAGTGTAGTGTGATCTCCGTAATACCAGGGGTCCCGTCCCAGTTCATCAAGTCATCTGCCCTCCCTTGACGCTGGCGAGGGATACAGGTGCAAAGGACCTGGTTAACCCCTGTTGACTCGAATTCCCTTAAGCGGTAGCATGGGGAGGAATTCAAATAATTGATATGGGTTTGTTCCAGCGTGACAATATCTGTCTGATGTTCAGCCTAACCATAAAATACTAAAATTGACCAGGAGAGAAGAAATCCTAAGATGTACGAAATGTAAAAGCATATGCTGAAGGCATGTAAAATATCAAACTGCCGCATACGAAAAACTATAGGAAAAGACTTTCAAAGTGGGGAGTCTGGCTGAAGGCCTTGCCATTAAGACAAAGACAAACCAGCAAATCTGGCGCCACAGCTGAAGGCTTCAAAAGAAATCCTCAATCCTAAAAATGAAATACGGCAGCCTAAAACCCGAGTCTGGTGAAGTTAAAACGACAAAAGTAAAGCTAAAAGATCACTCAGACTTCCTACTATGAAAAATTAAAAGTTACAAGAAAAAAAGGAAAGAATACCAGCCTGAACAAAGTTCATTATTAAAAACATGATGTAAAAATTATTCAATAAAAATGTTCTTAAGATCACGTCCAGCTCCTAAGCAAAGAATGTCAGGTACGTCAGTACTTAGCTTATCATCTTCGTGATCGCCTCTCGTTGTTCACTGAAAATATGTTGGCACTGCCGGTTTTTATCAGCGAGGAATGAACGGAAACACCCGCTGACTGTCTTAACCAACTCTTTATTGTTTGAAAAATTCTTGTTTACATTGCTTCGGTGACGTTAGAAGCAAACATTTTTAAAAACAAATTTCTTTAAATAAATATACTTAAAACACATAAATAAAAATGGGTAAGAGTAAAATCAAAAGCATAAAATTAAATATTTTAGAAAAAGAAATACAATGTACGAAAAAAAAACAAATTAACGAGATGTATAAAACGTTTCCCCTCAAACTCAAAAAAATAAAAACGAAGTAAAAACCGAGACTTTAAAAGTTCATGGAATATCAAAAATACCAAAAGGGATACAAGACAATTAAAATAAGTTTATAAGAATGTCTCGTAATTAAAATATAAAATATAATGATTACAGAAAACCAGATGAAAAGGGGAAAACTAAAGAAAAAAAAAGCAAATAAAAACGAGGAAATCAAACAAAATAACACGAAAAAAGACGAGTGACAGGCAGCGACCAGACCTCCGGCATGGGCAGCCAGAACGGGAGAGCAGACCACCTTACAAAAGGTTTCCTGCTTTCCTCTTTGTAAGTGTTTTAACTGCCTCCTTTTTCGCGCTTGTTTGGTGTCTTTACATTTTCACTTTCCTGCAAAATTTTGTTTTCTTCCTTATGGGTATATATACGCGCTCGCGTGTGCACACACACACACACACACACACACACACACACACACACACACACACACACACACACACACACACACACACACACACACACACACACATATATATATTACGTGTACCTTGCTTAGTCATAAGTACCCATTAAAATCCTGATCAGCCGAGTAATTTCATTCATCACTATTTATCGCTAATATGTATCACCAGGGAAAAGAAAAAAAGACGTATGGGTTGTAGAACCCGAATTATCCATAATCACTCTACTTTTCCTCACATTTCAT